GCTGTGGTATAGGTGGTGCGCGTGTGGCGATGAATGGAGTGGGCCGCGTGAGACTAGTCATGATCGATGGGCAGGGGTGGGATGTGGCTTTTTTTCATGGAGGGCAGAGGACCTTCTTAACCCAAGGGTCCTTCATTTACTAAATGTTATCGAGGAGGCCACCACTAAGGGGATTCCACGGGCTCCAGATAGAATAACATCATCAGCAAAGTCAAGGTCAGTAACCTTGATATTGCCCAGAGTTGCTCCACAATGACTTTGAACAGTAACTCTGCCTAGTATCCAGTCCATGTAGGTGTTGAAAAGTGTTGGTGCAAGGACACAGCCTTGCCTCACTCCTGAACTAACAGGAAAGAAGCTCGACAGGCCCCCACCACACTTTACAGCACTCTCATTGCCAGTATACAGACGCTATCAGTCCAATAATCCTTGTTGGAATTCCTCTCAGTCTCAGGATCTCCCAAAGTGATTCCCGATGCACCGTATCAAACGCCTTTTTGAGGTCGATGTAGGCTGCAAGCAGCCCACGCCCGAACTCATGACGGCACTCTACAATGACTCGAAGCGCAAGGATATGGTCAATTGTGGACTTACCAGGAGTGAATCCAGATTGCTCCGGCCTCTGGTGCCTCAGTAGATGGTCTCTCATACGTCTCAGAAGGATGTGGGCAAGAACCTTGCCTGGTATACTGAGCAGTGTGATGCCTCGGTGATTGCTGCAGTCCCATCGGTCCCCCTTCCCCTTCCAGAGAGGGATGACCACATCCCTCAACAGGTCAGGGGGAATGGTACCGGACTGCCAGCTGGCAGCCAGGACAGCATGCAACCCATGCGCCATAGGTTCCCCACCAGCCTTTAACAGTTCAGCTGGGATGCCACAAATGCCAGCTGCTTTGCCACTCTTCAGCTTGGATATCGCCCCCCTAACTTCAGTCAGGGAGGGTGGATCCTCACTGATGGGTGGGTCCGGCAACGGAATCACGGCACTACCCGCATTCAGGTTAACTGTTGGTGGGTCAACCTGGTACAGCTGCTCAAAATACTCAGCCCAACGTTCCCGCACCGCAATAGGATCTGAGACGATCTAGCCACTTACTAAGCGAACCGCTGTCACCTGAGAAGAGGGCTTGGAGTTCAGCTTTCTCAGGGCTTGGTATGCAGGACGAAGGTCATTTACCAAGAAATGTCCTTCTACCTCCTCAGCAAGACTCCTAATAAACTGTTCCTTGTCCCTTCTTAACAGTGACCGAGTTCTGCACACCTGAGAACAGTGCAAATCCCGATCCCCTGTCAGACGAGCCGCATGACAAGCATCTGTGGCATCCAGAGTCTCCTGCGAGATAAAAATTCTGTCTTGCTCTCGGGCGTTCACCAATTGTTATTTGAGCTGCAACAAGCCTTTCACGTTTGAAGTTGTCCCACAGAAGTACAGGGTCCGTCAGATTCTCGAGCGCTGCGAAACGACCAGAGACTGCTTCAGCAAATCCCCGGGCACACTCCCCCTCCCTCAGTCTGTCCAAGTGAAACACCCTGGGGTGATCATTTGACCGCTGGGGAGTTTTGAAGTGGACCCGAAGGGTAGCCACAACCAATCTATGGTCAGTACCACAGAATTCGGCACTCCTATACACTAAGCAGTTCTGGAGGATCCTCCAACGAGTGCTAACGAGTATGTGATCGATCTCCTTGGCTGCATTAACTGCATCGCTGTACCAAATCCAGCGATGTGGGTCTGGGCGCTGGTACCAGGGGCCAGAAATCCTCAGTTTCTGGAACCTAGCAAAGTCCCGGAAAAGGAGGCTATTCTCACAACCAGTACCAGTTCCTGAGCCATGGGGACCGACAGACATCTCATAGCCAGCTCGATCACAGCCAGATACCACACTGAAGTCATCCACAACAATACGAATCTTTCGCCGGGGACACCTGTCTAACACAGATGTAAGTTTGGCGTAGAACATCTCTTTTACGTCAAGTTTACAAACATCGGTAGGAGCATACACAGCAATAAGAGACATGAAGCCAAATGCTAGCTTCAGTCTCATTACCATTATACGCTCATTGATTGGAGTAACCCCTACTACCGATGGCTGGAGTCTGCTGGAAATGGCCATGGCTACTCCCTGGAGATGGTGACCATCGCTACGGACCTACCAGTAGTAGGTATAGCCACCTACACTAATCATGCCGCTGCCAGGTCTTCTCACCTCCGAGAGAGCAGCCACCTCCACTCGCAGCTTCCCCAGTTCCCTCGACAGCAGAGGCAACCGATCATCCTGATGCAAAGAGCGGATGTTCCAAGCCCCCACCCTGACTTCCCGCCTGAGATTTATCCTCGGCCAGTCACTCCGGGTGGACGCCACCTCTGCCACGCCGCGACGCTGCTCCATATAAAGGGGGGCGGCAGGCTACAGGACCCATCATCCACCTGCGGGGCTCCCGAAGGCTTTCCCCCGCAAGCTTCCTTCCAGGCTGGCGACTGCCAGAACACAGGCAGGAC